AATCCAACAAGAACTAAACTTGATGTACAGCTCGAGCAAGAATCTGAACATGACCAAAAAGGAAAATCCAACAAGAACTAGACTTACCCCGATGATTACGTGCTGCTTATGAAATATACTGCTGGAAGGCTATGCCTCTCTATTTAAACACCACCAATCTATATATATGCACCATCAAACAGGGGAAGCTTCCTCGTCTCTCTTTAACTAACTGCTTAAACTTCGCTAAAATTTTATGAACTGGTTCAAATTCAATTATTTTAACCATCCATTTCAAAAGATTCACAGCTTTTATCATTTTTTTACCACGAATCTCATATCAAAATCTATTAAAACTTTTATCGAGAGCTTTGTCAAACAACCTCTAAATTTTCGTAGGACTGAATACAAAAACTGGAAGAAAATCAATTGCCAGTACTATTCAAACTGGATGTCATCTACCATCAAGTTAAACCTTCAAGTTGCCCCTGCGGCTGCGGCTGCGCCTTTGCCTGCGCCTTCGGCTTGCTGGAAAAGGATCTACCCAGTTCTTGTCCTCTTTTATAGCTCGTTCCCACCGCTCTTTGAATATTTGAAGTTCGGATGTTGATTGCCTCCGGATCTGCAAAATCCAATAAATTAGGACCTCAATATACATTTGGATATACTTTTATGACGACAAAAAACTAGGATTTACTTTTAATAAATGGGTCAGCCACGTCAAGTCATTCATTCTAGCCACGATTAAGAGAAGAAATCAAGCATATGATTTTAACATTATTTTGGCACCATATAAGCAGACAAAGAGGAAAATGGAGAAAAACAGTAATAATTCACGACATATGTAGTTTACTTACCTCCATTCGTACATCAATGCCATGCCTCTGAAAATCAAAAAGGAAAAACAGGAAGCATGTTAAGCGAGAAAAATTTAACACGTGAAAGTACGTAATTGCTTGTAATTTTGAAAGAGAAAATAAACGAACAACAAAAGAATGTGAGCTATACCTTCACATATTTTTGTGGACTTGAACCCTGTAGAGATTTCAAATATCATAAGCTAAGTAATTGGCCCAAGACAAACCCATGTCCTTAACATTACAAATTACTGGATTCAGCTATCCCCCACCTCATTTTAGACACTAATAATTAAGGTGAGGGAAGAAGCAATTGAACAAGTTCTATTGGTATACAAGTAATTAATCAAGATATACCCCCATGTCTAGTATATTGTCTCATGTGTGCACTCCATATTATATTCACGATTGATGGTTGTGAGCTATCGCTAACAGTATGAATTGAACTCATGAAATCAAAGTGAATTAGTAACTCTCACTAGGAGAGTCAGAGCAAGAATGAATAAGTGCCTATAGAAGCACAATGCTGATATTAGCCAAACCTTCCAAAAGTTGCAGGAAGTAAAAGTAGGCAAGTAGCAAATGGATCTTATTTTTTGTGCAAAATTTCTTCATTCGAGATAATAGTTGTGAAGTCACCCAAGGATTAATAAACTTAATCAGGTAATTATAAAATGTTAGACAATGCAGACTACAGATACATTCATACAATTTAACAGAAAGCAATGTTGAAAAGTAAGCAGGGGAAAGAGGGGGGTGTTGAGGGAAGTCACCTTTTTTGCAGATGCCCCACCGAGAGTTTGTATACTCTGATGAACTATATATTCACTATCAACTACTCCCACCTTCTCTCTGCGGTCACCCTATGAAAGTTCAAAGTTTATACAAGATCAGGTTACAGAAATCATCAAAAACAGTTTTACAAGATTAATGTAAACTTTGTCTAAATTGCTCTAAGCCTATTAATTATTGAAGCTCATGAATCAGGCAGATGCTTAGTTTCAACTAGAACATGAAGTTTAAAAGTTCTTGCTTATGCCAGGCATGTGATTTATGTTAGGTCCCAAACGAATCTTCAATTTAGTTATGCTGGAACCCTTTCTGGAGGCAAAAGGATGGCACTGTTGTGAAAGAACTAAACATGGAGGTCTTGGTGCAAGAAGAAGAAAGAGGAATAGGAACTTGTATATTTTCCTTTGATATGAGAGTTCATAAAAAGGGACGGAAGTATAAAAACTTCTTTAGTGGCAAGCATAGGACAGGGGTTGTAATAAACTTAAGCACCTCTGGTTTTATCTCATTGCCATTAAAATTAAGGAGGTCATTTATATTCTAATTTGGTTATTAGTTCTCTTTTTTAGTACACATGGCACAATATCTTTAACACAATAAAACGAAACTCTAGGAGTTAATATGGAAACAGGAAATTGACAGTAACATCGTCCAAGCATCCCCTAAGCTATCAAATTACCTGAGCACAGTAGCCGAGTTTCATGTCCATTCCCCATCCATGAACAAGATCGTTCTAACAGAAGGGGCAGCCATTTGTAAGACTTATTGAATTGCCAAAAAAATAAAAAAATAAAAAAATAAATGCAGAACGCACTGAAATTGGAGTTAAAACTATAAAACATTCATTTGAGCAGGTTGCCAGGGCAGGTCAATTAACTAGACCAGAATAACAGTATGTATGAACAATTTCAGAAGTATAGTAGCATAGACCATAAAAGCATTCATCATGGCAACACACTGGAGGAACTCTAGTGGGTAAAAGACACAAAGGCGGTAACTTTAATTCGGCCATACACTCTAGATTGAATCGGCTCATCACCAAAAGCAACAACAATCATGATCAGATAATTTAAGAAATGGAGGAAGCGAATCCAAAAGGTTTATTTTCTGAGTCTTTTGATCTTTGCAAGGGAAATCAGAAGAAAATAAGTAGTCACAAAAGGCACCTATATTTAATGTAGGGAACATCAAAATTCGTAAATCACATACAAATAATTTTCACCAAATGATGAGTAAAATTTTAAACATTTACACACTTTTTTGAATAATTTAGATAAAGGCACATATTCTGTAAATTACACTGATAATGATAGAACTACTGCATTTCTCACATGTTTAATTCAATTGATTTCACATCATAAGGTCTGTGAAATAGGAATTTGTTCACAGGAAAGCACCAACAACTACCTGTATCAAATGCCAGGCACAATCCCATGCAGATCTTGAAAATACAGGAGCCATTCCTTCCACAAATCTGCAATTTGAAGTGATTAAAATGTTTCTCTAAATTGTATAACACTTGCTCCCTGCGACCATTTGGTATGCAGAAATCAGAATTGTTCAAACTGATTTTTTATTTTTTTTTAGTCTACTCTTCTGTATGGCACCAATGGTGGATACATACATGAGTATTTCATTTTGGTACTGGATTAACTATCCAAAATTTTTATTTCCTGTACGTGGCAATATTGTTAATAAATCACAAAATAATTAACATTATTTGACTTAGCCCCTGCTTGATCCCCATTTTTTGGATAAAATGTATTATCGAATAGTGAGTTTTTAGAAAATGTGTAGTTAAAAAGTAAAGAACAATTTTTGAAATATATGTATAATTATTTTATGGGAGAATGTGTGGTTGAAAATGATATTTGAAAAAATACATTCCGGAAAAAATGGGGCTCAAACATGGGCTTAAAGTTATTATATACTTCTTTTGATTGCAAGATATATATATTTTTTATGGGAGTAATAGTTCATAATTTTTAACAAAACTTGCCAAAATTGATATTAATATTGTAGATCATTAACGGTATGTTGTCAATCAGATAATTTAATTTAATTTTCAAAACACAAAGAGAAAAGTATCGAAATCCATTTTACTTTATGGTTCTTTTCTAGCATCATTCCGTGATGGCAACCAAGCAATAAAATGGTACTTAGCATTCATTGTTCACACAAGGTCAAATGATGAATTCATCCAACCAATTCCATATCATAATGAGGCCTCAAGTAAGGAGGAGTTCATTGCAATACTAAATGACAAGTACTCTGAGAAAGAACATGCACATATCAAGTTGTCTGCAGTGAAAAGATATCACGAGAAACATTAAGTTCTAGAACAGCAGGAGTAACATACCCAGCGCAAGGAGGCCCTTCACTATCGTCTGAACATTTGACACTTCCTCTGACATCATAGACTCTTCTGCTTAAATGAAATTATGTAAGCACTAACACCAAAAGTATCTATAGATGGAATTTAGAGTTGGACTGTAACTTTATGCCCAATTCACCTGTGGAATTTATGCATTCTATTTCTTATTGTAATCCTGTGATGTATACCAGTCGAATTTGGGTCCAAAGCTGGCTGAGATATCTCCAGTCCTTGCGATCTTACAATTCCCAGGTACCTGTGATTGAAGTGAAATTACAAAATCAAATAACAGATACCAGGGAAGTAAGAGCAGCCATCGAGGATGGATAACCATTCATGGAACCTGCATGTATAGAACTAGTATTTTCTATTCTGATTAATCTGGAAACAATACATGGAATTCTTTAGATGCCAAATTACTCATTTGACATAAGGCGTAACTTCCAATTTTTACAGAGAAAAAAATACAGCATTTGGCAACTCAACATTATGCAGCAAGCTTAGATAGGTTATTGCTACTAGAAACAAAACTATTATTTTGGATAAAATCTGCAAAAGAGAAGGACAAGAATATATATCACATAGGTGCAACAATTGTACCGTCCAGGATGGAAATTATCCACACCCAAATCTTCATCCCACAGAAATATATAATCATAGACAGACACAATCGCTGGATGTAAAAAGCGTTTTGCGAACCACCTGAAATAAGTATAAATACAAAAATTTGATTAAAAAACAATTAAACTTTAGTGTGCCTAGGACATGAGACTTTGAAACAAACATATATTACATCAGATAATTTCCAATTTTAGTGGTTGAGACTTTACAAATATCTGAATTGGTCATTTAACCCATTTCCTATTTTCTAGCAAGTCCGATTTTAGGAAATGCAACACATTGCAATATATAATCCTCAGGGAGGAGGCTAACAGTGGGAGCAGCTGGAATGACCGGTGGGCCCTAGTTTTGTTCCTATGTCTGACACCATGCTACAAGTTCGAATCCACGGGTACTACTTTAGGATCAGCATTTTTTCATGTTACCACACAATATAGTCCAAAGGTGAACTAATTACTGAACAAGCGTTGAAGATCTGAATTTGTGGAGGATTGATAAACACTTCTTTATTGAGTTCTCATCTCCTGTGTTGGCACCAAAATTATTTTAGTTCTAAAAGTCCTCAAAAAGACTGCACTACCTTACCTTTGATTGATACGATTGTACAAATTTCACATATTTAATTACAGTGAAAAATCTCAAGTTTTGGCAGATGAAAGACAAGAAACTGGATCCAAATTATCCAGTCTTACCACTTTGTTTGATTGTGTGCAACAATGTGTACAGCTTTCTTGCTCCATTCCAGGTCCCACCATCCATTTACATTGCCGTCGTAATGGAACAAAATAACTGTAAAATTCTCTGAAAGAAACTGAAATTAAAAGAGTCAGGCAATGGATGAGAATAGTTAAAATACTAATGAATCAGCATAGAGTTTTCAAAAGTTCAAAAATCAATAAAATGCTATACCTTTTGAACTATAGTATTAACATTCTCCTTTTGCTTAATCCCCACTGGCATCGCTAACAAATTATGAGAACTTCCAACTTTAACCTGAAAATTGTAAGAAAAAAGAGGCCTGTATTAACATTCAGTCATTGTTTATGTTACCATCAAATTTTATCAGAATGCTGTGAATGTAACTGAAACTTTTAACAAATGAGGGCTAATCATAATCAAAGGATTACAAATGCTCACAATCCAGGGGAATGTGAAAGAAATCAGTATATTGACTCCAAGGAAAATCAAACACCAGACTTTTACCTCTGACTTAGAACTGCTAGTAGTCCATAAAGGCTTTAACTCCAGGTCTGACCTTGGTTCGATGATTCCACGGGGTAAATTATTTAAGCTTGAGGCAGCCATGCCTCCATGCTGGATAAAAGCATCATTACTACATCAGTATTGCAACAAATGAATATCATAAGTTTCAAGAAAGTTAGTGATGCTGCAAGAACAATTTGCTATTCAACTCAGTATGCTAGCATATCGAGTAGTACCAACAAGAATAATACCATGAAGAGTTAACAAACTAATTTGATGAGAAGCTAGATTAAGATGATTTACCTTTAATGTGTAGAAGGGATGCAATTTTGATTCCATCTGGTAAAAAGAAAAGGTTAATGTGGTTTTCATAGACAAATTTTGCACAAACTCTTCAAAGTGAAAAAATATTAAGCAAATTGGATTGTATTTCAAGGAACTCTGTTTGACTCTGACAAAAATATAGTAACCGGAAAATCAATTAGCCTAAGGTTCTAACTGAATTTTTTAGGGAATATCGACAACCATGTCAAGGGTTGGAGGGTTGGGCAACTGCAGGGCAGGACTCACAGAGTTGGTTCGGGTGGAGTTTCTCTGATTCAATTGTGATGCATGCTACCACATCATTGTCCAAATTCACATAAGAACAACCAAAAGATCAAATGAGAAAATCAATTATATACTGACTACATACCTCTGTCTGTTGATACTGGTAATTTGTGGTCCTATATACAATGAATAACATTACAGTACAGACAACTCCCATAAACGGCAGCTGCTTCATCTTTGATCCAAATACTACCTGCAGTCCCGTTCATACATTAGACATTCATATCTTTACTCGTTAGTCCTTAGCTTATACCGAAACTAAAATAAACAAGAGTAATATTAGAAGGAACATACTCCCTCATAAGAAAAATGTATTTTCTTCAACAATGACCGCCATGACTTGGATGCCTTCATACTTCATAGGCAAATTTGAGTTATTTCTGTCAGGCAACAAACTGCAATAAATGCATGCATATCTGATATATTATATTTGACCAACAGATGTATATAAATCTGTGAACACACTTGTAATAGCCAGTGACTTCTAACAAACACTTTAATCAATTTGAGATTGTGATAATTCCGATAAATGACAAAAAACCTGAATGCATCGGTTTAGGCACCCGAAACTTGACCATCAAATCAATGGAAAAGAAAATAAATATTAAATAAAGTAAGCACCAAAATCATTAATCACACAACAATTAATAATGAATAAGTTAAAACATCACCCTTTACCAAAACGAAAATTAATACAATCTTTATATAAATTTGAAGAGCTGGGTCATGGGATCAATCATCATTTCTCAATCCATCCCCCATTATCATAACTTAAACGTAAAGAAAACAAGAATCATACAGTAAATTAGAACGTAAAACTCATACCTTAGAGGCCTTAAATTCACTTAACTTGAGAATCATGTGATTCACTTGCGACTGTATCCGCAACAGAAATGAAGCTCCATGTTGTTGTGTGTCTGTGTCTGTATTAGATTGACAGAGGAAAGAGAGAATCAAAGGCGCCTGCTCGTACAAGGTGGAGAGACATGTGGGAATGCAATGTACAATAAATACTAGAGAGCCGTATGAATCATTAATGCGCCAAAAGTCACAAATTATTTAGCCCTATAAGTAATTAATTAATTTAATTATTAGAAATGAGACTAATTTTAATTTTCACTAATATTAGTCAGCTTTACTGTCCATTAAATATTCTTAAATGATTGAATATTCTAGATCAAGATGTTCAATCAATTATTGATCGATAGACGAGTACTAAGTATCGGTGGATCTAAATATCATTATTATTCGTTTTTATACGATAAATTGTATAAATGTAAGATGTGTGCCCGGTATAAGAAAAATGAGCTGGTAGATAGACGAGTACTAAGTATTAGTGGATCTAAATATCATTATTATTCGCTTTATATGATAAGTTGTATAAATGTAACGTGTGTGCTCGGTATAAGAAAAATGAGTTGGTATGAACTATGAGCTCTCTTGTAGATGCGTGGGTGTATATATATTGGTAAGTGATGTTTAATCATTTTTATTAAAAATGTAATTTTGAGGGTTATTAAACTTCACAAGTATCTTCAATTATGCAACATTGTTGTTTTGAGTGGTTACATTGAGTAGATCTATTTGTATTATTTTGTGTTTCAAAATTTTTTGAATGAATAGGGAAATGCAATAAATGTACATGGTACCTTATTGACATAAATTTCTAAGTTGCTTTTCTTGGTGGAGATAATTATGGTAATACTTACCACATTTGTATAGTAATATAACACTTCATTTATTTAAACTTAATGAATGACTACTAAAAACTCTATCTAATGGAAAGTTAATAAGAGATATTTTTAAGGGAAAGGGAAATTTTGGTCAAGAGAGCAAAATGGGAATCGAAAAGTAAGTTTAAGTGTACAAGCGTTGTGAATAGTATATAACAATAATTATAATGAAATATGAAATCGCCTCCATGTCATTTAACTAACATCAAAATTTCTTTGCGTTTTTGAAAAATACCTAGGAGACAAGGTAGTCATAATAAATCATATATTTTAGGTGTTCAAATTATGCAATATTTGTTATCTAATAATCCTTAGGTAGACTCTAAGGTTGTTCACTACATAACAATTAGTTTCGACATGATTTTATAGGTCATCTAAAGGATAAGCCGGTTTCTAATTTTCCTTGTTATGTTGCAAAATGAGGTAAATTTTCCGTAGCATTAAAATCTCAAGCACATTCTCGACTTCCATGGATTGTTGATTCTAAAGCAATTGAGCACATGACAAGCATGTCTAATGTCTTTCCCACTTATACCACATGTTTCGATAAGCAAAAAGTTAATTAACAAATGGTTCGTAGTCTTCAATTACTAGTAAAGGTCAAGTTTTTATTTCAAAAATTTGTGTTTAGATTTAGTACTCCGCGTTCCAAGGTTATCTTGTAATCTTTTTCCAATGAGTCACTTAACCAAGGAGAATACCAGTATAGCTAAAAAATTTCTTACTTATTGTGAATTTCAAGACTTGAATTCAGGAAAGATGATTAACAGCGCTAGAGCAAAGGATGGACTCTACATTTTGAACATTGTTCACATTAAATGAACAAGCTCAAGTTGTGATGGACAATAATACTCAATCTAATGAATATAAAATTCTTTTGTAGTATGTTATATTAGGACATTCGAGTTTTCCATATCTAAAACAATTATTTCCTTCATTATTTCGTAAATAAAAACTCGCCCACTTCACAATGTAAATTTTGTTCGCAAAGCATCATATAGTTCATTTCCACCACATTCCTATAAAGAGTCGGCACCTTTTACTCTTTTTCATAGTGATATTTGAGGTCCCTCCCATGTGACAAATATTTTTGGTACACACTACACAATGTCGATGGTTTATCACCTTTATAAATGATCACACAAGACTTTAATGGGTGTATCTACTCAAGGAAAAATCCAAAATAATTAGAGTTTTTTTTTTTTTTTTTTTAATGCGAACTAATCTAACTGAATAATAACAGAAAAGAAACTAATCTAAATCTCCAGCTTATGTCCAAGTCAGCTTCTTTTGGTAACTTCAACAGCCCTCTTCAAGATGGAGTGTATATATTGCACACTTTCATCTTGTACAATAGAGAATGAAACAAAGATGCTGCCATTGGTTTTATTAGAATGTTTGCTAGTTGATTGTTTGAAGAGACATGCATAGTGTGTAAAATTCAAAATCTTGTCCCTTACCAAGTGATAATCATCATAATCTAACTCGTTATGTTTAGTTCTCTCATGAAATACAAGGTTGACAGCAATGTGTAATATAGTTTGATTATCACAGTATAATAAGACAAGCTTCTCATGTTTACTCCCTAGGCCAGCTAATAGGTATTAAAGCCATTGTATTTTCCATGTAGAAATTCTGAGAGCTGTGAAGCGGACCCAGACGACTTGGGTTAAGGGGTTACAAATAAAATTTATAGGGTACCTTCTAATAATAAAAAAAAAAGCTAATTTATTTATTTATTTATTTTCAATATCTAGAGGGTCACTTGACCCTGTAAACCCCTGCAGGTCTGCCTCTGAATAGAAGGCTGTGGTTTTGAAAGAAATGAGGGCACTTGGAAAGAATGGTACATTACATTTTTAGTACATTTACCTCAACGAAAAACTCTTGTTTGGTATAAATAGCTATCCACACTAAAAGTACAAATTTGATGGATCGATAGAAAGATATAAAGCAAACGGACCACTATTTTCATCCACAATTCTTATATATCTATCCATTTTTTAAAAATAATAATTTTTATTATATTTACCTTTTACCCGTCAATTTATTATCGTGATATTTTAGAGACATGAGTGCAAATGGAGATAATGGAGTGGGAGGTTCATTTGTTTGGTGAATTTTGGAAGGGAAGTTAGGTTAGTTACAACCACACCACAAAGAATATAGATTAATCAAGAGACCATATTTGTAGTCAATTTGGAAACTTATTCATCAATTAAATGGTGTGTCATGTCGCAGGTGCTTATCATAAGCTAAACGTTGGTGTTTAGAAGATCATTTTCGTATAAAGGTTTATCATATAAAAAATAAGATATTTTTATTTTTTAAAGAATATTTCTCTAACTGGTTTTCCAAGACAACGGTCTTCATTGGATTTGGATTTCAAACATTTAATAGTTCATGGTCATCATGTGGAATTTGTGTCATAAAGCCTTGCAATGCACGCTTTGTGCACAATTACAACATATATCGAAGCGTTGAGCAGTGTCCGGATCAAGCTGTCTGGGGGACCAAATAAATTTGTACATAATTATGTAATTCAAAGCAGTAGTTATATTATTATGCGATTGTGCTATATGTATATCATAACTTATAAATTTATTTATTAACAAATGATGTGACGAGATTTTGATCAAACAAATAAAAAAAAGTTCCCGAATTCCTTTTTGCCGTTAACCCATATTATATAAGCACGATGATTTTAATTCAATTTATCGTCACCTTATCAATATGTGAATGAATCTGTAATTGATAATTTACGACAAGCATTTTTAATATTCTAGTATGTAAAGTAGTGGTTAATAAAAGCAAAAGAAGACCTATGAGGACAAACTATTACATCCAAGTATGCCAGAAACACTAAGCTATCATTTGGTATGAATTATCTTTTTTGCTTTTTCTAAAAGAGTTCTAAGTATCGGTGGATCTAAATATCATTATTATTCGCTTTATATGATAAGTTGTATAAATGTAACGTGTGTGCTCGGTATAAGAAAAATGAGTTGGTAGATAGACGAGTACTAAGTATCAGTGGATCTAAATATCATTATTATTCGCTTTATATGATAAGTTGTATAAATGTAACGTGTGTGCTCGGTATAAGAAAAATGAGTTGGTATGAACTATGAGCTCTCTTGTAGATGCGTGGGTGTATATACATTGGTAAGTTATGTTTAATCATTTTTATTAAAAATGTAATTTTGAGGGTTATTAAACTTCACAAGTATCTTCAATTATGCAACATTGTTGTTTTGAGTGGTTACATTGAGTAGATCTATTTGTATTATTTTGTGTTTCAAAATTTTTTGAATGAATAGGGAAATGCAATAAATGTACATGGTACCTTATTGACATAAATTTCTAAGTTGCTTTTCTTGGTGGAGATAATTATGGTAATACTTACCACATTTGTATAGTAATATAACACTTCATTTATTTAAACTTAATGAATGACTACTAAAAACTCTATCTAATGGAAAGTTAATAAGAGATATTTTTAAGGGAAAGGGAAATTTTGGTCAAGAGAGCAAAATGGGAATCGAAAAGTAAGTTTAAGTGTACAAGCGTTGTGAATAGTATATAACAATAATTATAATGAAATATGAAATCGCCTCCATGTCATTTAACTAACATCAAAATTTCTTTGCGTTTTTGAAAAATACCTAGGAGACAAGGTAGTCATAATAAATCATATATTTTAGGTGTTCAAATTATGCAATATTTGTTATCTAATAATCCTTAGGTAGACTCTAAGGTTGTTCACTACATAACAATTAGTTTCGACATGATTTTATAGGTCATCTAAAGGATAAGCCGGTTTCTAATTTTCCTTGTTATGTTGCAAAATGAGGTAAATTTTCCGTAGCATTAAAATCTCAAGCACATTCTCGACTTCCATGGATTGTTGATTCTAAAGCAATTGAGCACATGACAAGCATGTCTAATGTCTTTCCCACTTATACCACATGTTTCGATAAGCAAAAAGTTAATTAACAAATGGTTCGTAGTCTTCAATTACTAGTAAAGGTCAAGTTTTTATTTCAAAAATTTGTGTTTAGATTTAGTACTCCGCGTTCCAAGGTTATCTTGTAATCTTTTTCCAATGAGTCACTTAACCAAGGAGAATACCAGTATAGCTAAAAAATTTCTTACTTATTGTGAATTTCAAGACTTGAATTCAGGAAAGATGATTAACAGCGCTAGAGCAAAGGATGGACTCTACATTTTGAACATTGTTCACATTAAATGAACAAGCTCAAGTTGTGATGGAC